AAGATGATCATTGAAATTATTCATACGCTGAACTGGTAGTGTGACTCCGTAATGTCACCGGGCTGATATTTTGCATCCAGTCAATTATTATCGACATCTGACGCATAAGCAGATGCATGGGTAAAGATAGAACATCCTTCAGAGACTAATTCCATGGATTTGTAGGCTTAGTGAATTTTTTGACATGCTGGCTCTTAGTTTCATCATAGTCTATCATTTAGATGATGAGGTTTCCACAAGAGAGAAAAGTAAAAGTTCTGTATTTCAGCGTACTTAAGCGTTAAGCCATAGCTATCCTTTTTAGCTTTTTAGCTCTGTAGAGTTTACTATTAACATGTGCCGGAAGCATATTAGTTTGAGTTCATTTTATGCAAGTTTGTCTGGCAAAAAAGCCCAAATACTTTATCGGACGCCAATGCTGCTCAAACTTTGTAATAGAACCAAGGATTTGTGCTTTATTATCAGCAGACTTATATAAAATGAACTCAAATCAGTATGCTCATGACAGACGCTAGTAGTAGAATTGAAACAACTACGAGGCTGTAGTGATATAGCTTTGATATACCAATGAAGTACGGTGAGATAAGGGTGAAGCACGAAGTCTTCGCTGTTTTCCTCTTATATTCTCAAAATAGTTAAAGTAGTTCCATCGTCTTTAATGTTTTAATCTCATAAGAATTGTGCTGAGAGTCTTTTTTTAAATATCTGTTTCTATAGATCTTTTCCCTTCTGGCATCTATCAATGGACATAAAATTTCATAGGATTATATGCTCTATATTAGTTTTGTACGCTAATCAAATGTTCGTCAGACATAGAAATTCTGCATCAACTGTAGACGTACTCTGCATCTCTTAGTAGGTTTACTTTGCTATCTCTTTATTCTCTGCGAAAGATATGATATAAAGACTATAAAACGAAAATAAACATGTCAAAATTATAATGACGAAGAGGATATGGGTGTTGGTACGGCTGAAGAGAACTACTATCTCCGCCCTCACACTCCACACCCACTTCCTCACCCTTAAGAAAGTTTTTGTGATAAGTAAACATATCAAGAAACTCTTTCTTGTCGTAACTGTCCGCAACAAACTTTTTTATTCTTTCAAAAAAAAAAACGATCTCATCAATTTTATTTTATAACAATAAAAACTTCATTTCTCTTTGTTTTTTTTAAATGAAAGTTGTTTTAACTTTCATTTTTTTCCTTTTAGGTAAAATAAAGATAAATTAACAATCGTAATATAAATGCATACAATTAAAGCTGTCCATATAATAATATAATACTTGTTCTATTGAAATAGTTCTAAAAAAGAGTTGACTATCACATGCTCTTGACGATCATAAAGCTCGGATTGAAGAAAACAAATTCTTTTTTCTTTTTCCCTCAAAAAATTCTAAAAAGCTCGTTGACATGGCCTGATTTTTTCATAGAAGCTGTGAGTTTTCATAAAATTCTTCTACCGATTCACGATTTAATAATCAATTTTCTCAAGAGATAAGTGAAAGTTAGAATTCATTGAGCCTGAACAGGATCTCTTAGAATTCTACATATTTAAATAATATTACATTGACATATTGAAAGTATTTTCTAAATTATTCCTGACATAAAATTTCAATCGCTCAGCTAATGCAAATAAATTAGCTTTTTATGTACATTGACGAAATATTCAGCAACTAATTACATTTAATCAATTTTAAAGAGAATTAATTTAAATAATTTATAACATGAGTAAAATATTGTCTTATGAAGAAGAATAACCAAACCATTATTTTACAGATTTACAAAATGATGCCATCGAAATGTATCATTATTGATTTATTGTAATCATTACAACTCTTTTTAGGCTCTAATAAATTTGAATAAGGCGGTCTCGTGTTATCAGTAGATAAGAGTATAGACTGATAATACGGGGAATTATATAACCCACTCTTTCGATTCTTCTGTGGAATCTAGCTTTCACATTTTTAAATGAATTTTTATGGCGTAGACAAAGAATATTTTTTCTTTTCTTTGCGACACATATTTTCANTACCGAGTGATTTTTCATAAAATGAAAGCGCTTTCGAGTACTCGCCCATATTCATATATACCATTCCGATGTTGTTGTAGGAAGTAGCCAAGAAGGGATGGTTTGGAGGGAGAGCTAGTTTTAGGATGTCAAGTGATCGTTCGTACGATGAAAGTGCTTTCGAGTACTCGCCCATGTGACAATACACCGAACTGATGTTGTTATAGGAAGTAGCCAAGGAGGGATGATTCGAAGGGAGAATTTTCTGTGTGATATCGAGTGCTTTTTGGTTAAATTCAAGAGCCTCATTGTATTTTCCTTGGGCACTTTTGAACAGTCCGATATTACTGTAATAAACTGCCCTATTGGTCTCATCAGATGCCTGTTCGAGTAACATTGTGTACAGTTGGTCTGCCTTGTCATTCTCACCCAATTTCCACAACAATAAAGCCATTTTTTCCCATCCTGTTCCACCAGTTTCGTCTCGCATTCGTTGGGTAAGAGCATTGAGCTGTTGGTCGTCATTTTCAGTGGTAAATGTAAGTTTAACTTGCCACAATTTCACTCCGCTATCTTCAATTTCTTTGACTTGCTGGATGCGAAAAACCGTGTGCATTGAAAAGAGAATTTCTTTCTCTGTCTTGAAATAACTAAATTTGTCTATACGAGCGAACGGAGCCGATGAAATCGATCGATTAATAGCCATTTCGAAAAGAACACGAATTGTGTTGTTGTCAGTGGACTGAACCCCTTTCGGAATAAACCGAAGGGCTACCTTTCGATCGTCACTTGTTGATAAGAAATTATTGAACGAAATGAGTCCACCTTGTTTGACTTTATTTTCAAAATCTTCCTTGAACATGGTTTGACCCCGGTAGACTGTCAATGTTGTTGCTGCACCATGGATTTCATTCAATTGCTCTGAATGGAGTTTCTTAATGTTTTGGTGCAAGTCTCGCATAAAAATGCTCATTTTGAGCAGGGTTTCGATTTGTAAAGTGCGCAATGCTTTGCTGAGCATCTGATACGTGAAGCAATTTCGTGTGTACCACCAAATGGGCTTGTTCTTTTCATCCAAATTACTTCTATAGTCTAGAGCGAATTCATCGATAAGTTTCAAGTGTTGGTCATTTCCGATATACTTATCGCGGGCATACTCGACTAAATTCTTGATTGCTTTGTTTTCATCGAAATTTATTTCAAGTATAATTTCTTTGAATAGTTGTGTATACATAAATGATGGTTCGATTTGATTTAATGACGATACAGCACTAATTGCAATTGAATCTTCGTCACATTGTTGAGCCCATTGATGAATTGAGTCACAAAGTGAAGTAATATCAGTAAAAGTGCCTTTCACTTTGGGGCAGTCTTTAGTCCATTCTTTATACTGTTCTTCTTTCCGACAAAAAACATAAATTGAATATAATTGTACGATGTTATGAATCAGTGGCACTACTGTTTGACACAAAGCATCGGAAATCATGAGAAACGCCTTTTCGTTTTGAAGTTCTGAAATATAATCGATACATTGATCTGTATCACGAAATATTTCAATGGTATTGACTGCTTGTCGTAGTTGCTTGATAGAATTCAGATAGTCGTCGTTGGATTCATCGAATTTTGCGTCAAGCCAAATCAAAAGAAAATTTTGAATCATATCATTTGTAGTAGTGCGATGATCGCGTTTTGATTCAGCTGATGGTGTACTGCAATGCATATTCTTTGATTGATTGTACGTAAGGTGAACGAATTATGCGTTTAATACGTCGGCAACCTGAAATCATGAAATGAATGCTATTCAACGACAAAGATTCTTTATTTAAACGAAAATTTTCTCTGACAACGATTTTTCTTTCTCAATTATCAATAGATGTTTTCTTTTGTTNGATATTCTAAGGACCATTAGGCCTATCTATGGGCGAAATATCAAGTCGAAATTCCCTATTTTGATTTTTTCGTAAATACCTGAGAATGGATCGAAAATTCAATAAAACGACCATAACTTTTGAAGGAAGAACATTGGGGAAAAATTCCTTTAGGCTTTTTACTACCTCAATATACCCGATTAAATGAGATACGAACGAATCAAAACGGAGGGTATCATCTGAAAAGGTTTCCTCGTTAGTTTTCGAGATATGAGAAGTTAACTGAGCTTTTGACCTGATGTAGCTATGAAATTTTCAGCTAGAACAAATATTTTCTTCTCAACATAACAGACTTACAAGAAAACTGAATTTTTCAGAAATATACGCACTCGTTAAGAATATGACAACTCAGGAAGAAGATATTCATTCAAGCGGAAACTGTCAATGTAGCATAGGATTCCTAAGGTGTTTTTATGTAAAAATTCTCAGATGGAAATAATAACACTTTATTCAGTGGTCTACTCTGTACTACACCTAAAACTCAGTAAAATGACCATATCTCGAAAATTTAGTCAAGCATTTTCAAAAAGTCAAAAACAAAGAATCGAGTATTTCAAGAAACACAAGTTCATTGTCGTGGAAATCTCAAGACTATCGAATTTGAATATAGACAAAACTTGAAATAAAATTTTTTTATTGTTTTTAAACTACATTTTAAATGAATACCGTGGTAATAGGACAACTGATTTTTTAAATTTCAACATGAGATTCAGAATAAAAACAAGCCTTGTCGTTTATACCCGCAGTTTCAATGTTCTTATTTCAGAACAAGAATAGATTAAATAGCCTGACACTTTCATGATTAACTATTCTCATCCAGGGAGCACAGCATTACATTGAAAAACACTGTAAAAATGCAATACATCGGTAGTAATAAGTTATGGGCCGGAACTCCTTTTCATTTATTCATAATCCATTAGGGTCTACATGATGCATATAGCCCCAGCTAAAGAGAGATTAATCAGTTAGAAAATTTTCTTCGTTAGTGTCACCAAGACCTAATCATAATATGAAGTCGAGCGGCGTCCGACAATTGACGAAATCTCCTCGTCAGTTGTTTAATTATTTATGATATCTTACTCGATCCATCAGAGTAATAATTTGTAAAATAAGTTGATCTTGTCGAAGATCATCACCATACTTGAATATAATTGGATATTCTTCACCTTGAACTGTTTCACATACAAATAGAAAAGGTAATTTTGCACTCTAATAATTAACAAAAAAAGAAGCCTTCATTTTTTTTTTTTTTTCTCTATAAATATATATTTACTTTAAATATTCTAATTTTTTCTGGAATAATTCGTCGAATTATAATTTCAGGATCTAATGGAAGTGGTATTGGATCAAAATTAAGAAAATTAAATTTCACTGGTGAATCATCACCAGCTAATAATAAACTGCGTAATTTATCTTCCTAAACATTTTCATTAGAAAAAAAAAAAAAAAAACTTAAATAAATTTTTAATTACTTTCACTTTAGCTGAACCTTGTACACGTTTTACGATATTTGTTAATTCGACAAGTTTATCAACAAATTTTTTTTGTGCTTCAATTGATAAACGAACTTGTTGAGTTTGTTCATTTTTCTATATGGAATAAAAATCTAAATAAATAAAAAGCAAAAAAAAAAAAAACATCTATTCCTACCGTTTTAAGTGTTACACTCAGTCGTTCGACAAATGCTTGATACATATCAGTTATAGCTTTATCTTTTAATGAACTATTATTTTCACATTCAACATATGCATACCTATATATATATATATTTAAGTTGTTTATTAAATATAAACAAAAAACAAGCTCTTTTTTATTTTTTTTTTATTTCTACAAACCAAAATAAATAATTTGCAACTATTGGTTTTTCGCATGCTCGTTGAATTAAAAATGTTGATAAATCAATCTATCAGAAAACAGAAGAATGAATAACATTTAAATAGAAATATAAAAGTTTACTTGTGGACTAGAAGATTTTGTTGAATCACAAGATGTAGAATCAGATGGAACGACAACATTAGCATAGTTTTCACTACTACTGTTTAAACTATTAAATAACAGAAAAAAAAAGCCACATAACAATTTTATGAATAAATATTATTTAGGATTTATAACCTGTTCTGTTCTTCGCCTGTAGCATCAACAACATAAGCATTAATTAAATCATAACGTTCATATCTAAGAGCTTGTACTAATTGCAAAAGATATAAAAGAAGATCCTAACATATAAAACAAATTCTTTAGACACAAAAAAAAAAACTATTTCAAAAATCTTACTTCATCTGATGCTTGTCTTAATCTTGAAACAGCATAAGAACGAACTTTAGGATGATGATAAGTTGGACCAAGTAATTCAAGTGCATCATCAGTATCCATTGTAACCCATTGTTGTAATAAATCAAGTGCTTGTTTAACTTCTTCTTCTTTATCCCAATGAACACATTGAAGAAATTTTGCAAGTGCTTTTTTATATTGTGATAAAAAGAATCGATATTTCCATACTAAATCTTGTTCTTCAATCGAAAGATATTGTCCTGGTGGATATGCTACAATTTGCATTAATTTATCACGTTGTTCACGTGATGGTTTTAAGTCTTTATCTATTGCTTTTCGACCACTACGTGCTAATTTTAAATGTTTACTTTCAACAATATTTTCCTACTCAATATAATAAAAAATAATAATTTTTTATATAAAAGAAAATTATACACATACAAGATCTAGTTCAGGATCAAAAACAACAAAATCTGTATAACCAATTGGATAATTAATAATATCATCAAAATTCTAAAACCAAATAATTTCAATATGAAGTAAACAAGAAAAAAACAAGTTATTAAATTTACATGTGAAATACGAGAAGAAAGAACTTTCAATTTTATAATATAGTATTTTTTCCTATTGTACACATATTTCAGATATAGATTTCGAATATCAAACCAATTTTTTACTTCTCATAAAAATAAATTTGACATCATCTTGTACTGCGAAAAAAACTATCAGTCAGGAGCTTTTTTTTTGTTTTTGCTTTTATTCTTCGATAATGTAAAGAACACTCGAAAGAAAGAGCTATCATCCGATTCATTTAATCCTAAAACAAATAGTAGAATTTTATAGGAAGCTGTTTTTTTTTTCTTTCTTTTGGATAAATCAAAATAATGCAAGCATTTTTATAAAAACAAAACAGAAATGATTTCTATTATGATCTCATAAAATCTTATATTAATTCAAACCCATTTATTAGGTCTCAGATATTATTCATAGAATTGGATGCTACCTAATAATCGTATATGATTAAAAGAAAAAATAATAATAAAATTTATACGAACCGGTTCAAAATAAAGTACAACACATTCATTATCTTCAATCATTGTTCGAGCAAATTCAATTAATAAAAGCATTGATTTTGAATTTGATCGTTCAATATCTAAACATGAACGTGCTTTAGCTAATGTTAATTGTTCAAGCCATTCTTGATGTATTGTATGTCCATCACATTGAGTTTTAATTAACTAAAAAGAGAAAAAAAACTTTCAATTTATTTATAAACAATTTCATTTTTTTTGTCTTACTTTTGCTATTCGACTTAATTCATCCAAAATCGGATATTCACTTTCATCATTCCATGTTATCACCGGGAGTTTAGCTGTTATTTGTTTGGAATTATTTTGTAAATTTGTTGTTGTTAATACAGTTTTATTTGTATAATTATTAAGAATTGGTTCTTGATTTAATATTGGTTCTACTTTTCCTAATGTTGTTGAATGAAATTTAACATCCGGCGGAACATTTGGCCATAGGTTTAAATCATATATACCTCGACGAAATGTTCTAAAAATTAAATTCATAATTCTAATTAATAAGAGATTGGTCAGAATAAATGGCTACGCTTTGTATTTTATTTTTTTTCATCATCTTATACTTTTTATTAAATATGTCACAAGATATATCTTTTGTTGGCATTCATTAAGCTGATGTTCCTTTGCATTGAAAAAGTGTTCCTCGTCTAATTAGAATATATATATATGTATGCTCTAATTAGACGAGCAACACTTTTTCAATGCAAGGGAACACCAGCTTAATGAATGCCCTTTTGTTTTCAAAATGGACAAATTTCTATGTGATTGATTTTCGACGACGGAAACAAGATCATTTGTTGGTATACGAAAAATTCCTTTTCTTATTTTGTAAATTTATTCCATTAGTCATGTTTCAGAGTTGTTTAGTAATTTTTCGCATCAGTACTTTTCGTAGATCTTCAGATTTCATTGCTTTTTATTAACTGACACATTTATACAGATGAAATTTTGTTATTACGAAATTCGTATGTTTATCTAACACATAATTTCAATTAATCGGTCTAAAATTAATTATCCATTATGATGTTTGATATGGCTCATCAATCAAAGAAATGAGAAAAAGAATTGCCGTGTAATAAAAAAAAATAACTTTTTCGAAGCATCGAAATTTTGTCTATTTTGAAAACTAAATGTGCATATCTAAAATAAGCTTTGTGTTGTAAATTGTAAAACTTTTCACGGTAGATCTTGTGATATATTTAATAAAATATAAAATACAACCATTTATTCTAGTTGATTCATTGTATCGTTTAAAAATTTTACCCATCAGAAGCAAACAATGATATTGTTGTACTTCCAACAATTCGTATATCAGTTGGTGAAAGAATTTCATGAATTGAAAATGTTAAAATCGCATGTCGAGGTAAATCACAATATCTTAATGGTAATGTTAACCATTCATTCCAACTAATATCAAAGAATGAAAAACAATTTTTTTTTTTTTTTTTTTTTTGTTCTAAGAAAATAAAATTCTTTTATTTTTAAATCTTACTTCCATTTATCTGTAACTGACTTAAATGATGTTTGAACAGGCATACAAA